ATTGAAAAAGCGCTAGTCAAGAATATCGCATGTCCTCTGAAGGGTAGTTGCTGGTCATATTGAGACGCAATCCCTACCCCTAGCATTGCGTTACTGTGTTCCTCGAGTGTGTCCAGGACGACCCAACATATATTTGACGACCGTCCTAGTGCTGCTAATGACTCCATCAGACCGGTTAATCATTTTACCGACTTTATCAGGGGGTCTTAAACAATTAGTGGCCGGACTGTAATGACATCTTTCTATACAAAGCAATCCCGACTCCATCAACAGCTGACTGACAAGCTTGGTGAAGGCGAAAGAAAGGCCAACACTGGGAAATTCATCCAGAAGCAGAATCAGAGTATTCCTCACTATAATAGATTTGACGTCCTTGAATTTACCCCGACACGCTGGGAATCTCGGCTTGGAAGGCTACTGACTGACGAGGCTGGAGAACTGAGATTCAGGTTGCAATAGCTCCTTCATGACAGTCTCTCCCATGCGAGATCCGAGCGGTCCTCTAAAGGCCAGCTCCCTAAAGCGGGGACCAGGTGGTGTTTGGCGCGCGCGACGGGTGGTTTAGTTTAACCAGCTACTGCACCAACGTCCGTCTCCGTCTTCTCAACGGAGTAGGGTGGGTGGGGGAAAAGAGAGTGCAGCAGAGGTGGTACTTATTCTGATTCAGTAGAAACTAATCCGCGCACAAGTCACCGGTGCTGCGCCCACTCCGTGGGGGCGTGTGGTGGAGGTTGTCAATAGTAGCGGTCGAACTGTAATGCACAAAGCACACGGTTCAAGAATTGCCCAAGAATTAGGTTCGGTCCAGCACACTAATCAAGCCAGCAGTCGTACGTGTGCGCGCCTGCCTTGACTCGTCCCGTGTAGGCATGGTGATTGGTTTAGCCAGCAGCAAGTATTTTACGTGCTTCTGGGCTACGGGACTACCTTGCCTTGTCCCTTTCCATTATCAAGTAAATTTTCCACTTTACTAGGGAAAAAATATAGGGGTTTGGGAAGTCCTCCCCTGACCGTTCCCGGTTCATTATTTCAGATTCCTTTGCCGCTCTTCTTGCTATACTCCAGCTTTTACAGGGAATCGCGATGACATCCACACTTAAAGCATCCTCAACACCAACCAATCCCTGACAGTCCAATAGAAATTACCCCGGGGTAATTCGACCGAAATGAAGATGGAGAGGTTGACTGTGCTTAACGTCCATCTGTTCGGTTTTTGTTCGATCCCGACGGGTGTGCTGGGTGAGTAGGAAGGCGAGTTTTTGAAACAAACACTTTATTCTAGGTCGGCGAAAAACAGCGATTCCCCCAAGTCATCAACTCCCACCTGTTTATTGGAGTCTTGGCCGTTCTTGAACCTTCCGTCCAAGTGTGCTAATCGCGGTGGACATTCTGGAATATTCTGGCCTATGGCGTGTAGCACGTTGATTGACCATTTCTCGCGCCGAAAGCCCCCGAGGAATCTTGTCGAACATTCGGGCCACACGCGCGAGCAAGAGCTTCACGTGTATTCGGTACAACAGCACACGCCGATTGGTTGGCTTGTTTCATGCGTGTTCTTCCCTACCGGTTCGGCCTGCTTCGACGGGCATGGTCACTTGTCCTTTTCGTTCTACAACGCAATTTCATCACGGTTTTCGTCTCCGTAACAGTTGTGGAGCGACGCGTGGCGGTGTGCAAACCTTACCCACTTAAGGCTGTTGGTGGTATACAGCAGATACGTGCTACTTCATGAAACGTTAACCGAAATTCTGAAATGTGTTTTCGATTCGAAAAGTTCACTTAAGCATGGCCGCAATATTAACAAACACGCAACATGATCCCAAGATAATTCATGCCCGCCACGATACCGGCTGTTGAACGAGCATCTTTCAAACTGCCTGAGAAAATTAGATTCCGCGAAGATGCTTACTATTTATTTGCAATTTTTTGCACTGCTTTTTAATGTTCTTATAAATCTGAATATATTTTATAGGAAGCATAAATAAGCGATGGAGAAGAAAGGGTGCCCTTCGCGTTTAAAATCACCCTCAATTCCTAAATATTTTTGAGCCGGACCTGCTGTTAAATTTTCGTTTAGGGTTTCCAGGCTGTAAGCTGAATATTTTCAGTACGTGACCTATCTCGTGAAACCTGATGACAGGAACTGGTGTAAAAATTTTCGGGCATCTTAGACGTTGCGCATTTCGCTTGCCCATCCAGCCTCTTTAAGGAAATGTTATCCTCTTGCGCAGAAATTGTGTCCACGCAATTTTTCACGCAAAATGTTCATATTCGGCCGAAAATGGGCATTGCGATATACTTGGGTGATTTCCTATGCCAGTTGATGTAAGACATATTCGTTACTGACTTTCTTTGTGAACATTCATTTTATTCGACAATGGGATCTCCTGTTTGAATGCGTCTTCAAATGTGACCTAAACGGCCTTCTACATGAAAATGAACGCCCAAACACTCCCAACTTCGGTAAATGCCTCTGAGAAGTACTTTATTTTAACGTTCTTAACAGACACAGAATATAGAATCTGTCTTTATGGGCGATCGAAGGAAAACACCGAAAATCATGAAGTATTCAGCGATAATTTAAGGCCGATGTAAACTCAAAGTAGTCCTGGACAGATAAAAAGTACAAATTAATTTAATGGAAGACAGTTTCTCATAATAAACGCAAAATGTAGGTTTACGATTACGCCTGTCAATCGGGTCACCGATCAGCCTTGCAGCATGTGACCTTATAAAAACTGTTGTTCCTACGACGTTCCCATCGATGGACTCAAGCAAAATCCATTTTCTTTTGTTGAACCGCATCTCAATCCATTCAAAAGCGTAAAGAATTTTAAGAATCCTCGGGAAACTGCTTTGGGATCTGTACTCAGACTGTAGGCTTTTGGCAAACCGTCATACATTTCCATGCGGTATTAAGATGTCATATAGGGTTCACAAAATTTTACAGTTGATACGGGCATTGTTGCAGCATCAATAAATGTCCAAGCACGACGTTTTATGAACGGATATTATACAGTTCTATGAAATTAAATAGTAAATTCTTTTTAAAACTAAGAAGCCACCTTGTTAAAATATAAAATTTGAAAAACGTTGTGAATTCCAGTTAATATTTCATGAGATAGCACAGCTGATTAAAATATACCGGGTAAAATCGTGGTACTCCGGCATCTCTGTTGAGCGATTTCTTGTAGGTTTCACTCTGAGTCGCCTATGCGAGAAGTGGAGCTGGGCAGTTGTTGAAGCTTCGGAAAAAAGGCGGTTTATGGTGGCATTTCAGCAGACCTGATATTTCAAAATAAAATCGCTTTTTCACGCACTGACTCTAATATGCTCAAAATGTTGTAGCACCCTCGCAGCTTCTTACTGACCCAGCAGACCTCGTATATCCTCCGGTGAGGCAAAGAGGGTTTGTGAACTTTTGCCCTCCTTTAGTTCTCACTGGCATACTGTTTCAATGTTAAGCTTATACGGCTCAGGGATTTGTGGGAGTTCATGCGGCAGCACCACCAAGGCTGTCTGTTCAGATCAGCTTCGTAATTCCTCACGATCCCCCTCTGAAAGCACACTCCACACCAACACACACGTAAATGGGCAGACTGCGTGGACTGAGCTGGAGATTCAGTCAAAAGCCCTCCATGCCACGGCGCTTGGCGCACCTTGATAGCCTCAGATTCGGATAACACATGCAGCCGCATTGGGAAGGAGCCGAGAAGCATACTCCCTACTTGCATGGGTGGCAATTAAGTGCCTGTGATGGGTAATGGGCCTAGTAGGACACATGCGCGTTCACGAAAACCTGCGATAGACAACCGCCCGCTAGACTACACCATCACAGTTTGCCCCACCAACACCCGCTTTTCCACATAACTGTCGCTTATTAAGGGATAAAAAACCACGTGGCACTGCACCATTCGAGGGGTTTTCTCGCGAATTTTGTAACATCTCGTAAGTCATTTCGCCACTGTAGGTACTCATTCCTATTGTTCAGTCATCAAGGAAATCGGTTATCCCTTAATACAATTATTCGTCTCTCTCAATTCTACCATACTACCATATTACTAGTGGCAGCGGCAACGAAATCAGCAGTAGCTCGGCCTTCGGTATTCAAGATACTCGTGTCCAAAAACGTGTAGGTCGGTTTTTTGGTGGTTTCGGCGGCCGACTATCTTCGTCATCAGTGTGGAATCTTGGGTGATTTGGCCTGCCGACATTGATACCGGAGGCAGTGGTTATCCGCAAGTTCTCCTTGAGCCTAACTACTTCGCCTAGACTAAGTTTCAGCACCGAATATGAGAGGTGCTGATAGGCATGTTGCGGCCTAGCAACTTTGTCCTATAAATATTGCAACACCTGGGCAATTCACTACCTTTATCTGATTCTGCCTTTGATGATGGATTCAAATGAGAATCCGAAACGCCAGGCTAATAAAGCACTTGTTTCAGCGACCATGTCTCCTTCTCCGCGACTACTTCCTGGAACTCGCTCTTCGCTTCGATTAGCAAACTAGACTCGCCGCCCCTGCTTAACTGCTTATCCTCCTATTGTCCCCCCATAATAAATAATTAACTTTTGTGCCGTATGGCTTCTAACAGTCGTTCTCCGCCGGCCATGAATGCATAGCCTCCACGTATTTGCATGTGCTTGTTGCGACCGCGATTTTGCCCGATCTAGGTGACCTCAAGCGTTAAAAGGGACCATATACCACTTTTCCTATGACTTCCGTTCGGTTTATCACAATGAACGCTAAACAGTGCCTTAAATGCTTTCGGCAACATGCAAGCCACTGACTACAGATCAGTTAAGAGTCGAACTAGTGCTCAACACTTTTTTACCAGAGCAAAATGTACACAAATAAAAAGGATCAAGTTAGCAAATTCGAAGTGCTAGGCTGTTTTTGCGGGGTTGCGCTATAAAACCTACCAGTGAAAAAAAACCTGAAGTCGTGTAATGATTTCCACCAAACATCAACGGTTCTCACTTGACCCATCCAACTGAAACTAGTTTGAACTCTCTTCATCGGGGAAGATGTGGGCTTGAACAAATTCCTCATACAAATCTTCACCCTCTACCAAATATCCACGCACAACACCAGTTTTCATTTTCAGTACATAACCTTGCCGCTCAATCTCAAACAGTGAGGAATTGGAAGTCCCATACGATTTGACTTCGTCCGTGCCCTCAAACATCTGTACCCGCTTGAGTCGCACTTCTTCCATCCAGGTGGGCTGCAGGCCAGCATCTCTTCTTTTTCTGTTCCTCCTGCGCAGCTCAATAGTAGGGTCATAGTAGGAATATGTACTCATGGGGATGGGAACGTAGACCTCGGTGTTTATAACGCTGATATTTTTGAAAAATGCAACACGGTCTACTGACTGGCAAGCTCTAGACAGCTTCATTTTCACAGCGGCAAATCTCGCCTCTGTTATGTCAAAACTTATTCGGCAGATGTCCTCACCCAAGTTAGTGAGGACCGAAGCCCGATTAACAGTGCGTTTTTGCTCCTCTCCCGCGGTCGAGGCCTGCTTGAATTGGAAAGCAACCTCAAGAGCACCCAGGATGGGCAGAATGAAAGTCAGGTCGTCCTTGTCGATGTAAATTTCGCCATCAAGACTCGTATCTCTCCCTTTTTCTAGTTTTTCTGGATTGTAACTCAATGGCATGGGACTGGATCCTGCAATATACCATTTCCTTATTCGCATGGGCAGTCCTATCCCAGGTATCAGGGCCTGTTTAAAGTACGGTCTTCCGTTAACCTGAGCTGCCTTGGTATTGCGGTAGTTCATCGCAGGTCTCTCCTGTGTCTTTAGGAAGGTGAAAACAGGATTTGCAGTTCTGAAGGTAAGCATCAACAAACCGTCCTTGGGGGTGGTGAGATAGAGAGTGCTCTTATCCACCTGATTTTCAGTGATTGTAAGTGACTTGTTGCTGAAGTTAAGGTCGCTTGCCGTCAAATCAACGAAGTAGAGAGTGGGAGCGAACGCCGGGTAGTCTGGTGGCACAGAGTCCTGACCTGCAGAGCTGTTGCTGGGTGTGTACTTGTGCATAATTGGTTTGTTCTCCTGGGCATTGGAGGCGCAGTATTGCCATGTTGCCTCGTAGCCTTTACCTCGCGTCGAGAGGGTACTGCCCATGGGTCAGGTCAGAGGTAACGAGCGAGAGGCGTCGACGCACGTGCAACCAGCCCAGCTGCTGTGCTGGACGAAAGTATTGATCCCCAAGCTTTCGAACTGTGTCGTCGCCCGGATGAAGTTATACTGGACAGTCGAGGGTAGGGGCATACTGGTAATTGCACAAAGTGGTCTTGCACGCAGAAGTAGGGCTGGTTTTATACACATCGATTTGCTAGGGCATTGCCAATGGGGCGAGATGGAATTTCTAGAGACTCTGATGTTTTATTCCTGACAAAGTTACGTTGGAGACGGCAGGGTTTTGCTATACGCCTACTACTTTTTGTAGTTGTATCAACACTGTCTTTTTTAGTGACTGCATTCTAAGAAAATTTAAAATCGTTAAAATTTCATCTCTAGACACAAAGGCATTAAATATAGTTCGGTCCTATTTGAAGACTGTATTTTTGAGAACTCAACACAAAACTCCCTTGATGAAATAAAAAGGGCAAACACATAAAAGTCTTGTTTGTCGGTGGGTCAAATCACTCTGACGGTGCCGAGACCTCGTCGGGTCTCCATGTATGTATGTTTGCAGAAACAATAAGGGAGCGTGGAGTAAATATGATGCTTTCTTACCAGATTGGAATATAGTTTCAGGCACAAAAAAGTAGTTGCGAGAAAAATTCGTTCCACATTTCTTACCGCATCAAGCGGAAGGGAATCTCGACCAGTTGAAACAGTTGGCATACGCAAATGCAGTAGCTCAGAAGTAGACCTCCCAAAGCGAACCCAGCGCACCGACGGTTCCCTCCCGTCCAAAAACAAGGGATTTCAGACTGTGAGAGTTCCAAGTAAGGGGTAGTAAGAATTCTATTCGCATGGCGTTTTGGTTTTAACCTTGTACCCACGATCAAAGACAGCAACTGACAGAGATTTTGAACACACAACGTGTGCACGCAGCTGCCATCACGCAATTAGTTTGCCGAACTTAACATCTCGCACACACACACGTCGTTGATGTTCATACTTAGTTTGAGTCCCTTGTTTCCCATGAGAAAGTTCTAGTTCAGATTACGTACGCGTCTCCGTCAGCAGGGCGGTCCACGGGACTGGAATTCTGTCAACACCTAAAGCGACAGGTGACCTAGAGATGCCTCGGAGGCTGCAGGGCAAGCCCTCGTGTGCCTACCACCCCCGGCGTTGTCAACCCGGTCGACACAGCTGGCGTTGAAATTTATTTCCCCCTCACCTTCCCAGAAGGCTGGCGCATGCTGCGGGCAGCGTTAGCGACAGTCGGCGTCTTTTCTCTTCCGGTAGCGCGGTGCAAACAAAATCGATAATATCATAGCTGCCCGCCCATCTATCGCGCCCCAAAAGGCTGGCGGTCTGGACAGAGCGGAGCGAGAGCGGTCATCTGATGTGGTGTGGTGTGGGGTGGGCACATACAGCGTGCGTGTATACGGCCTGGCTTATATGTGCACGTTTGTTAAAGCTCGGCTGACGAACAGCCGGTGCGTCAGGGCCAGGGGATAGGGAATTAGATTTGCTGGTCCGGTGTGCCTGGCCGGGGCAGACGTCAATCTGCACAGCCAAGCCCGGCGACAACGGGCGACGTACCGCTGGGGACGGGTCAACTCAGCATCTTTGCCGCCTAATCTTGCCCACAATTTGACTCAAGGATGCCCGGCGGTCACGTAAGCGATCTTTTCCCTCTTAAACACAAGACAGACTTATGATTTAATTGCTACATTTATCACAATGCGCCCCAATACTTTTTAATGCATCCGAGGAAGAGGTGACATTCTACGAGGTAGTCTCTGGTTTAACAACCTGAGACGCAGGGTGGCTGCAACACCAGTTTTTTCGACGTTGTTCATACTTAGTCAACCTGGCCACCCCCAAACACTATCTGCTACTGGAATCAAAAACGTACATACTCAAAGTACGCCACGGCTGGTCTGATGCCCGCCTATTTTATATACACATTTCACCTGAAAGAGGGCAGGTTCGTTGAGAGAAAAGTCGTCTTGTAGACTTTCGACTTTGCTTCCACAGTTAGTCTTCAGACACACAAAAAAAGTTAAACAAACCGTCCCCATTGGGTTGTTTGGATGTCGCACCAGCATGTACCGGCGGCAACTCATCAGGCAGTTACGACTGTTTTTTTTCCTTCATATACACTTGGAAAATTTACGTGAGTCATCTAAATAGACATGTCTACCTATGTACACTCCAACTGGGTGTGCTGTCATGAGAAGTTTGCACTACCATTTAATGGACACCCTGCGATAATACGAACCTGTACGCTAACAAACTTGTGTCCCGTATCTAGTTCTGGCCGCCAAAGACGTTGAGTGTTGCACATACGGGGTAGCGTGAAGCACTGGGAACAACTCCTAGCTTAGAACTAGCTGAAGAGATTTGTTGGGCACTCCGTTGCACTCAGCCAGACGACGAGGTATATACATATATAGTCAATGGTACTAGAAAGGATGAGTTGGATCAGGGAGGTGACCTGTCTGCATGAAGAAGTGAAGCCGAGAGGCCTGCTAAACCACCGATGAGGAATGCAGCGCTCTGTGCAGCTGCAGGGGAGGGCCATGGAAGATGCCAGCGGAAGGAGAGTCGGCAGTTGTGTGGGGAAGGGGCACCGGCTATTTCCACCGACACGTGGTTACATCATCTCCATTCTGGATCCGCGCCAAAAGAGATCACTACATTCAAACAATCCGGTATATTTCATTGGGCAGTACGTAATGATAACATACAGTAAGTGGACTAACTCGTGAAATGTCAACCGCAATTCCTAAATTCTTTTTCGTTTCACAAAGGTTGGGTTGTACAAATTATCATCCTGCACTTCAATTCTATAGTAATTCTGTCACCCCGGGATGTCGGCTTTCGAGCGAACTCCTTTTCGGCTGCATGCAAAACCTATACCCTTTAAAAATGACTACTCAAGTAGTATGCATTAAAATATTTATTCTTTCTCTCATTCGGTAGAAAATGGCGTCTTCTTCCAATTTTATACTCAAAGGAAGGGTATAATATGGTTTTCAAAAACTTTTCCGATTTCCGAATCATTTTTAACCCGACCTGCCGTTATACTTGCATTTAGGATTTCCAAACTACAAACCGTATACTTTCCGCGTTCGGAAAACCATACATTTCTACAGTATTAAGAGGAGACCATATGGGGTTTGTAAAATTTAGCAACGGAATTGTGTCATGTTGCAAACTCTACAAGCAAAATTAGTTAACGCAGAGACATGGCGCTTTATGAACGGCCATTTCACGGTATTAAAAAATCTCACAAGTAGCAACTTTTTTAAAATCGAATTATACCCTTCCTTCGAGTATACAATTGAAAGAAGACGTAGTTTTCTACGGAATGAGCAAACGAAAGAGTATTTTTGTGCGTGTGTTTCATGAAATATAATTGAATCCTTGAGGGCATGAAAAATCAATGAGGAAAATGCATGCAACTAAAGTAGCCATTTTTTACAGAGTATAGTTTTTGGATGAAGCCAAAAAGAAGTTTGTGCGAGAACCGGCGTCCTCAGGTAACTGAATTATTATAGAATTATGCTGCACGATGATTGGTTTTACAACCCTGCTTAATTAATCTTTTCGAAATGAAAACGCATTTCGGAATTTCGGTTGACATTTCATGAGTTAGCCCACCTACTGTAGCTCATTGAGACAGTATTACGATTAGGCTTCTCAGTTACGGCTATGTCTAAGGGTTACGGTTATGTTTACGATTTCGGCTAGGGTTAGGGTTGTCGTTAGAGTTAACGGTTAACGGTAACGGCTGAGGTTAGGGTAAGGGTTAAGGTTCGATTAGGGTTAAGGTCGCCGTCCGCTTCCCATTCCGGACTACCAACTGCGATCTAGCCAACTTATCTGCCCCATAGACACTACAGGTTACTGCGTAGACTATCTCCTTTTTATTCAAATAGTTAACTCTGCCTTTAGGGTGTACATGGTGACCATGCAATATAGCTGACGGCTTGCACACCACCAATATCTGATGTTTTCTCACTTGGTTTTCAACGAGTTTAGGTACATTTTAATGCTGGTAAGAGCTCCTCAGGTGGTTGGCTTGACTGCTTACAAAACATTAGGATTCCATTTGAGAAATCAAATAGTCTTAAGAAAGCTTTACGAGGCTATCACTCCTTCGACCTTTATTCAGTCTTCCGAGGAGGATACCTTTTCTGGAGAACAGCTATTTCGCACCCCGGAAAAGGCCCGGCACTTGTGATTAGCTCATGGACAAACCTCACAGACCATCAGAATTCTGGCAGTTCAGTGCCACATGTACCTCTCAAATACCGCAGTGAGGTCTTACCCAGAGCTACAGGAAAATTCCAAAAGGTGGGCGACCGGAAACCTAATGTCATCGTAATTAATTTACCAACGGACGACTTCCACTGTGTTTTAGTGCGACCCAGAATTGAGTTGTCGTAGAGGGTGAAGGCACAATAGGGGACATCAATTGCTCAATTTCGGAAAGTTTTTATCCCGTTCTAGGCAGTCCTATCGGTTTCTGTATTTGGGATCAATTGGGAATGGGGCTTTAAGTTGGCTGAGGAAGCGGATTGTTCATTCTCTGCACATGCAACGACGTTGTGAAGGACGCTGCGAAAGAAAAGCCAGCCTAATGGTGAATTTAGTTGAACGTCGATTATGAAGAATATCCTGTCCCACTTTCCTATTTTAAATGGTGTTCGACAATTACGGTCTGTAAAACCATATAGCACCTGTTGGCTACTTAACTTCAAGCCTTTTTTGTCCGGTAGAAATAAAGTGAGATGCATTCTTCGACAGAATATATTCCCTACTCCCAGCGTACTTGCCCCCAATCCTACAGACCCCCATTTTGTTTAAAAAACACGCTGCAAAACGAGGAAATAATTATGCCCTTCTATCGTCGGTGGGACTTTTTCCAGCAGCACATCCTTGCACGCGAAAGACCTGGCGTTAGTAACTAGCATGCCTTTCAGGCATCGTTACTT